CTCGTGGACCTGGTCGCCCAGAGCCTTTTAGAGGATGAAGCCGCTGCCATGGCCGCCCTGCAGTCACTTCCCAGGGAATGCTTTCCGCCCCTGTTCCTGTTGGCTGTTGCGGGGAGACGCTGCAGGAGGGTCCAGGCGATGGTGGAGGCCTGGCCGTTCCCCTACCTCCCCCTGGGGGCTCTGCTGGAAACTCTGCAGTGTGATCAGGACATCTTGAAGGCGGCCCTCAAGGGCATCAATGTGCTGCTTGCTGGTGACCTTTGACCTACATGTTGGAAACTCCAAGTGCTGGACCTCAGAAGTGACGCTGAGACCAACTTCTGGTATGTGTGGTCTGGGCTTGGGGACGGGGTCTCAGTGAGCCCCTCATGCGAGAACGGGGCTGCGCAGCCCAGCCCAGAGAGGTGCAGAGTGGGGCTTTCCTGCACAAAGGAGGAGAAGCAGCACTCGGGCGCCTCGGGAGTGCTGGTGCTGCTGTCGGACCTGTGCTTCACGGAGCCCTCTCCAGATGAATTGCTCACTTTCCTTGCGAAGAGGGTCAACGAGAACAAACTACTACCCCAACTGTGCTGTAGGAGGCTAGAGTTTATTTTTGAGCCATTGAGATTTCACATTGTCAAAAAGATCTTTGATAAGGTACACCTTGACTATGTGGAGGAGGTAGAAGTCTGCTGCCACTGGGAAATGAAATACATCGCCAAATTTACTCCATACCTGCGGAAGATGGTTCATCTCAAGAGCTTATACTTTGGTCAAGCTTTTCTTGACCACTGGACCCATTGGGAGGCAACAGCGGTAACGTGGCTGTGTGCTCATTTCTCCAGCGCGGTAGTACACCTGCAGCAGCTCCGCCACCTCCACATATGGGTAACCAGATCTCTTCTTGGCCAGTTTCATCAGGTCTTCAGGTACCTGGAGGCCCCACTAGAGAGCCTCGGCCTTACTGATTCTTGTATGACAGGATCTGACTTGGAATACTTGTCCACATCTTTGAGCACCTGCCGCCTGAGTATTCTGCATCTCAGAAACGTGGAGATGGTAGGTGTAGATGCTGGGTTCCTCAACATTCTGCTGGAGAGAATCTCAGGCACCCTGAAAGAACTGGACTTGAGTGGCTGTGGCATGACTGACACCGAGTTCACAGCCATCCTCCCTGCCTTGGGCCGCTGCTCCCAGCTCGATTTCCTCAGGTTCTGTGGAAACTCGGTCTCCATGGACGTC